AAAAAATTAAGGTGGGGGTAGAGGGTATTAGTAATTTTCCTTTTTTTTATTTTAGAAGAAGATAATTCTGCTCTTATTTCTAAGCCTTTTTTTTAAAAAATTAGAGTTTTAACACGTTTTCAAAATGCCAGATTTTTTTTTTGAAAAAATAATATTTTAATTAAAAACTTGCTAAGACAAGGCCATATTGAAATAGACTTTAAGGGCCATGTTATACCAAAAGGACTCATAAATATAGGTTTTTTAAAGGGGAAAGCTTTCTATGCTTCCTCTACAGCGTAAAACTTATATACTTCCTCTTATTCAACCGTCCATTTTGAATGGAAGGCTAAGATTGTCCCAATCACAATGTCACGTCTACACTATATTTTTATTTTTTTTCTATAAACTATTTGATACCAAAATTTGGACGTCCAATCCTCTATTAAACTCTAGCTAGCAAAAAAATTTAAAAAATATTTACAATAAAATAAAATAACCAAAATACCCCTGAAAGTTTCAAGGGGTATTTTGGTAATTATAATTTATCAAAAATTTATTTTAAATATTTTTTATAGGTGCGCCCCAATGAGAAGATGACAAGTACCAAATTTCATATTCATACAATTTGTATAAAAAAAAAACTAAAAATAAAATACTTTATGACATCGGATCTAAGATCAAACGGTGAGTGACTCTCTTGATCAAATTTGGACGGCTGGATGGTAGGGGAAGCATAGAACTTCTATGCTGTAGGAGAAGTATAGAAACCTTTCCCTTTTTAAGGTGCAGGCTATAGAAAGAGAGTTGAAGTTGTAGCATTCTTAAAGGAAAAAGTTTATACAGAGCCGGGGCTCTAAATAATCAAATTAAAACCTACCTCAAAAATTTCACTAGAAGTTGTTTTGATGCTCAAATATCCTCAAATTGATCATCTTGACATCAAGATGTATAGACATGAGAAAAAAATAGATTTCAAGTTTTGGAAGAAATACATTATGTAATGCAATTTTGGACCGTCAATTTTCAATATTTTCAAATTTTAATAGATCTGCTCTATCTACACTATTTTTTAAACTTTAAAATTTTATAATTCAAGATGAAAACATATTTTAAGGCTATCACAAAGATTTGCAGTATTGAAACTACATTTTTCGGACACCATTTGAAGATGCGCTATATTTTGACAAACGGCAAATTGATAAACTAGTCCACGCAAATAAATCATAAAGGCAAATGGTTTCCTAATTCCGCAGGAGTAACTATCCATGTACTCCCTCAGATCTAACACATGTTAGTAACTTTTAGATCTCAAATTTTGGGATCTAATCTCCATTAACCCATAAACTAATCTTTAATATATCTAACACATGTTAGTAACTTTTAGATCTCAAATTTTGGGATGTAATCTCCATTAACCCATAAACTAATCTTAATAAAATAAATTTCCAAAAATAAACTCTCTAAGTATTAGAAAAAAAAAAATCCTCCAGATTGAATAATGACCATCCAATTTTTGAAGAGCCAGATCAAGTGCCACAAACTCAAAATTCAAATTTTTTATTTTGAAAATAATTATCTAGTAGTTCTTAAGTAGTTCCCAAAATTTTGGACTAAAATAATCTTTCCAAATAGGTGCTTTGCACAAGAGAATAATGCATAGTATGCTCATGCAAGAGCACAATATACATGCTCAATCATAAACCCACATCTCAGCAAATTCCACTTGAAAGAGAAGGAAAAAGTTTATATAAGTGAAAGGCTCTAAATAATGGCACCTCAAAAATTTCACGACATATTGTTTTGATGCTCAAATATCCTCAAATTGATCATTTCGACCTTCAAAAGATATAGACATAAGAGAAAAATGAATTCAAGTTCTGAAAATAGTACATCTTGTAATGCATCTTTGGGCCGTCAATTTTTAAGATTTTTAAGTGTTCATAAATATGCTCGATCTGCACTATTTTTAAAGCTTTAAATTCTATAATTAGAGATAAAAATATATTTTAATGCTATCCCAAAGATTTCTAGTATTGAAACCACATTTCTCGATACCATTTGAAGATGAGCCTAGGCTCTATACAAACCGCACGCAAAAGAGAAACATGTCATCATAGACGAATAGCAACTGCCCAAGTTCAAGTGTTCTACATTGAAGAAGCCTCACTTGTGGAGCATTCCCTTCAAAATTAAGGAAAAGGTTTCTATACTTCCCCTACAGCATAGAAGATCTATGCTTCCCTTACCATCCAGCTGTCCAATTTTGATCAAGAGAGCCACTTACCATTTGATCTTAGATTGGACGTCTCAAAGTATTTTATTTTTAATTTTTTTATACAAATTATATGAATATGAAATTTGGTACATGCCATTTTCTCATTGGGGCGCACCTATAAATAATATTTAAAATAATTTTTTGATAAAATATAATGACCAAAATACCCTCTAAATCTTTCAGAGGTATTTTGATCATTTTATTTAATTGAAAATATATTTTTTGACGTTTTTTTCTAGTGCAAGTTTAATAGAAGATTGGACGTCCAAAATTTGGTATCAAAATATTTTATATAAGCAATATTAAAAATAAGATAGTTTAGAAACATGACATTGTGATTGGGGCAATCTTAGCCCTCCATTCAAAATAGATGGTTGGATAAAAGAAAGCATATAAGTTTTATATTGTAGGGGAAGCATAGAAAGCTTGCCCTAAAATTAAAACCAACAAATTGAATGTATTCACACACCTCTTAAAAAGGATTAACAACATCCCAGAACAAAGTAGAACATGATCAATGGCTTGTACAAAAGCAATCTCAAATAATGAAGGAAAAAAATTATATAAAGTTGAGGCCCCTAACAATCGACTTCAGGCGCACCTCAAAATTCAATTGAAATTTTTTTTTGGATGCCGTCTCAAGTCCGATCATTTCGACCTTGAGATACATGGATTTTTTTTTCTAAAAAGACTTCAGGTCTTGAAATAGTCCATCTAGTAATACATTATCTAGACCGACAATTTTCAAAATTTTCAAGTGTTCATGGTTCTCCTTGATCTACATTATTTTTGAAGCTTTAAACTTTATAATTAAAAATAAAAATAAATTGAAGCCATCATAAATACTTTTCATACTGAAATGGCATCTGTTGACACTATTTGAGGATGAACCTTACTTCGATTGTTTTAGGGCCTAAGCTTTATACAAACTGCACCCAACAATTAAAGGGTGCGGTTTCTATAAGGTTGCAACCTTAAACAATCTAATTAAGGTGCACTTCCGAATTTTATCATAACATATAATTTTGTTGTAAAAAATTCTTACTATTATCTTAAAATCTATTTTCATATCTAACTAGAAAATTTTAAACTCCAAAAACGGTTAAAATCAAGGAGATCTATAAACATATGAAAATCTTAAAAATGGATGGCCTAGATAATGTGTTGCAAGATGCACTATTTCAAATACTCAAAAATCTTTTTTTTTTATATCCATATATCTCGATGTCGAGATAATTAAATGGAGGATTTTTCAACATTAAAACAACCTTTCCGATAGATTTTTGAGGTGCATCTGTAATTTTACATTTAAGGTTGCCACCTTATATAAACTTTTCCTATAATTAAATGTGCAAGGTCAAAATTTTCCATCAGGTCATCAAAACCCCCATTTTAAAGAAATTGTACCAACCCATTTTCACAATTACTTCCGTATATCTTCAAACTATCACCTTTTTCTCTTATGGCTAAATATGGGTCACCTTTGATCTGTTCTCCTCCTAAGAGTTGAACCTAAAACCTAGGATTGGGATGAGCCCCACTACAAGCTTGTCCACCATTCCCATCTGATCCCTTACCAAACAACACTGTTAAGTGTGCATTCTTCATCACATCAATGGAGCATAGTGATTGCCATGGTTGAGGAGAGATGAGTGAGAGACCTCCTTGAGCTTTCCTCCATCCAAGGAGACGATTCGATCGGCCATTAGAATAGTTTCCAGTCGGTGTGCAATAATCAGTACCTGGATACAAATGTAATTTTTGGGGATGAGTAACAATACCTTTCAATCGAACCAAAAGTACATGACTTGTGGAGCTATTAGACAGAGAAACTCAGTTCCTCCAAGTTCTTCTTAGCTTTTATTATTATTATTGTTGTAGTTGTTATTGTTGGTTCAGTAATGCCCCTCATGAATTAAGGCAAAAATCCATGAATTAATAATGCGGAATTTTAGGGCAAAGGAAGTTTTCTTGAGTTCCACTGGTTGGCCTGGTTCCATGGCTCTGAATGTATTTCTCAGAAGGGAGTTCAACTATAAAGTGTAATAGAAAGAAAACATGAATGCAACCGAGCATTGAAAGTTAGGGGGTGACTTGAATGTTCCTTTTATATATGGTAGTATTCATGATTATGCAAAATGTTTTGGCAGGGCAATAGTAAATACGGAGACATGTAAGTTATGATGGCAACTGCTATAATATGTATTACTCTTGTCCAAAAAAAAAAAAACCTACTATAATATGTATTGAATATTGAGAATCCTCCTCATTATGTTGCAAATTGGTTTTTAAAAGGAGAGAGAAATGAGGATACAAGTTTATGGTTTCCATGAATTCTTGAACAAATTTAGATGCACTAAAGTTACCAATTAAGTTCATAAATGAGCCACATGTCCAAAAATTATGAAACTTAAAAAAAGATATGAAGTATATTGATATCTTACTGTGTGATTATCCATCAAACGCTTTACAGCTTGCCTCACCAATAGCTCTGACCTGCTATCTAAAGCTGAGGTGGCCTCATCCAAGATCAGTATGGACGAATTCTGATATATTGTTCTGGCAATAGCCAGCCTGTTTAGGAAAAGGAATAGTATACCATATTCCATTGGAGTATAACACATACGGCAACCCAAAGGGGCATCCACCATCCATTCTTGCTAACGGATAGTGGGGATTAACTGCACCAGGGTGTCCATCATGGTGGTCCCCGCTGTGGTTAATCTCCACAGTCCATAATCTGGAGAGGAAAGTGCATGGTGCTTTGGAGTGACATATAACCATACTCCAAAGGATTATATGGCATACTTTCCCTTGCAAAATGAAGTAGATTGTAAGCTAACTGATGGCCATCAGCCATGGAACTCAACATGCATTAATGGACAAAATCAGAATATATAAGACGGTGATATTAATGAACTGAGTTCCATACCTTTGCTTCTGGCCCCCACTTAGAATTGAACCCCGTGGTCCAATATTTGTTTGGTAACCTTGGGTTAGTTTTTTAATGAACTCATCTGCATTTGCAACCCTTGCTGCGTGCTCCACCTCCTCCATGTTAATCTCCCCCATTAAATCTCTGTAGCCAATATTTTCAGCCACTGTCCCTGAAAAAAGCATCTGAGAGATATGAAAACTCCATTAAAATGGACTCTAAGAAACAATAAAAAAAACAAATATTCCATGAAATTTTCCCCCAAACATAAAAAGTCTAATTGTGGTAATCCATGAATAAACTTATGTGAAAGACATGCAACACACAATTTCAACGGTGTGCCATCACAAAGACTTCCTGACCATGCAAGGAGAAACAAAAACTGTATCTATCTTATTTTTTTTTGTAGGAAAAACTGCAAACATTTGTTTGATTCGTAAAGACCTGAGTGAAACATTTCTTTAATTCAACCTCAAACTGGGTTTGTCCACAATTTAACAGGTACTTCTACTCTTGGAGGTGAGGAAACTCAATGCATTTTTTTGGGAAACACAACAGGGGAGGAAACTCAATGCATTTTGCAGCATTATTCACCCTTAAAATGAAAATGCAACATAAAAAGCTCATTGATAAAAATAAAAAGTACATAAAAGAAATGAACAATGAAATGCCACTCATACTATGTATGTAATGAAGTCAAAAGAAACCAGAATACTGAAAAACTAAATATAATGCAGAACAAATTTTCTGTGAGAAAAGCAGAAACATATAGGTGTATCTAGTCAATTTTTCTCCTGTAGACATCCATGATTAAATTTTTTGAGTTGGACCACAAGGGCTAATAGCAAAGCATCTGAAACTCATGCCTCATCTAGAAACAGATTAAGATGTCACAAGACAATGGTCAAGGTTCAACTCACTATATCCTGTGGAACTAGAGCTACATGTCGCCTTAGACTTTCCAAACGAATATCCTGAATGTCTTGGTTGTCAATGAGTATTTGTCCTGTAAATAAAAGAGCCACAAGAACACTAACCACCATTAAGTTTGACTTGTAATAACAATATGAGAAATACAGAACCTAGAAGACTAGAAGTAGGATCCAAGGTCATCCATTTAGGTCTTGGCCTCGAGGTATTTTACCAAATCATAAATCACATATCAACTACAAGAGTAATGCATATTCCCCAATAAAAATCTCCATGAATTCCCACATATCTAATAATGTATTGGATGAAGAATGTCAGCATCATAACAATCAGATATCAAATGTTTAAATGGCTTACCACAGATAGGATCATAAAAACGTAAAAGCAATTTTGCAATAGTTGTCTTTCCACCCCCTGAAGGTCCAATAAGTGCAATTGTCTCTCCTGGCTTAATATGGAGATTTAAACCATTGAGCACGGGTGTCACTTTGTCCCCGTACTGAAAGCTAACATCACAAAATTTTACATCGCCTTTGACATTGTTCAAGGTAATTGCATCTGGTTTCTCAAATACCTGCATTGAACAGCGATATAAATCGACACAAGCTACTTGTAATTACCATAAACATTGTGGAACTTAATTGGAATTTTCTCCAACAATATCTGATGGAGATGGACCATTTCAGAACAGAAAACTAAACCGCACCATCTCACCTTAAGAAATGCAAGGCAGAAACATTACAAGGGAAGGATCTGACAGACTACAATGTCATGGGAAACATTAAGAAACTACAGTTCCCCAACAAAAATAAAGATAAAGGAAAGCAGGAAGTAAAAAGCATACAAACTACAAGTGCAATCTTTTAAACACTTTATGTTGAGTAGTTATGGAAAATTCTTAATATGAAATTAATCAATGATAACATATACTACCAAGAAGTGTACAATGTTCCTTCTGTCGAAGGAAAATATGTGCAATATTGATGTAAACTTGTTGATGTCATGCTAAATCATCCTCCAATTTCTTATTTATTTTTTGTTTTTTATTTTAATTATTTCATTCAAGGATTGGAGGATTTTTTTGGGATTTACACCGTTGTTTAGGGATAGCGTGGCACTTTGGAGACTTATTTGGAAGTTAATTTGCTGAACAGGGCTAGTTTGGTACTTCATTATAATAAGGATTTAGTACATGGGTATAAAGCTTTGTTTAGAAGTAACAGTTTAGTTGTTTTTGTTGATTTTAACCTTGTAGAGAGACTTTTGTCCATTGAAGCATCTTGAGCTTCACTTTTATTGTTTCAATTGAATTTCCAGCCCTATTTTTTGTTTGATCTTGTCCATCAATAACACTTTGTGCTGCATGAATTGGTATCAGACAATATCAATTTTGTCCATGCATTGCGGCATCACGCTTCTGTAGAAACACGAGGATGGCTGCAAGAGGGTTGTGGGGAAAACATCGTGTGAGAGGAGATTGTGATTGAGGGACTAGAGTTGGACCCATGATGGCAGATTCAGAGGATGTTCTTCAAAGATTTGACACACTGGCTGCCAAGGTGCACCAGATCATATATGTGATCCTAGAATTGTGCCAACAAAGGGGTGAACATAGGGATCAATGTTTTAAAAAAATGGATCAGTGACCCGGATCAGCCATTTGGAAAACGAGTCCAGATCGGCTGGATCCAGCCTGAAAAAAATTTCAAAAAATTACTAAAATTTCATTAAAATCTAGTTTCTTATGCTTTCAAGGAAATTGGGGTATTGCATTGTAGATTTTCGTTCTTTTGTCAAAAATATGCAAATATTGAGAACCTGTTTTATGCTTGAGAGTTTGTTGACCACTCGTTTCATAGTCAAAATGTAATTTAAATACAACTCATTGCAATAAAATGGATCTCTCTACGTCAATTTTTTTTATTTTTGCACTTTTATAAATTATCACTTGCGCTTGTAAAAATATGGACTATTGCCTACTCATTTCTTATTTTCCTCAAAATTAATTTATTAGATTACTTTCCATTTGTACTTTTATTGTAATGAAGTTGCATAAGTCTAAGGATCAAAGAATTTTTTTTCTTATTTTTTCCCATCTTTTTTTTGTGGAACTTCCTTATTTGCTGCATTGTTCTGTTAATTTTTTTAAAAAAATTTTCTTTTGCTTCTTCTTTACTTGATCTTTTCTTGCCCTATAGTAGCTGGTTAAATTTTCTTTTTACATTATTTCTTTAAATATATTTTTTCCTTTCCCATGACCACTCTATGCTTCATGTTGAGTGCAATCATACTTGGGCATGCTTGGATTCAAATTGCTTGAGTGAACGAGGTGGCTCAACTTTTTTTTTGGGCTCAATTTTATTGCTTAACATGCTTACCCTTGGATTTAACACAAACAAAATCAGGAAAAGCCTCAAGACGAGAGGAAACAGAAAGAGAGAGGGGAAGGGAAGATAAATAGAGCAAACACCCACTCCCCTATCTTCTTTTTATTTCCTCCCTCATACTATTATTAATAATAATTAATAAAACCGTGTATAAAGGGACGGGAGCGTTCATCCCACATCGCTGAGGATAAGAAAAACAAGGGAGGCACAACCCTATAAATGATGGAGTAGGTGATGCTCGAGCAGTTGTGGTTTCTTTTTTCCTGTACTCAGGAAAAGGGTGGGCCCCTCTTAAAATAATAAATAAAAAATAAAACACTAATAAAATAATAAAGGTAAGGCCGGTCAGCCGATTCTCTTAAAGAACCGGCTGACAAAATCGGCTGGTTTTGTTATTCTGTCAAAGAGCCAGCCTGCTCAGAGGGGGAACTGACCGGTTCCTGATATATGGTGGGAATCGGACCAGTCCCGCCGATTCCCAATCCAGATCGACAATTTTTAAAACCCTCGATAGGGATGAAAGCATGCATCCCCAACATTTCGAGTACAGACCAGGTCTGAATTCGGAAGATGATTTGGGCTTGGATAGCCTGGGTCACATCATTCACAGGCAAGAAACCCTATCCCATTTGAAGATTGGTTGGTTCAAGCACTTGAAGGTTTTGAACGAAGTATTAGGGCTGATGAGCGCCTGATTTTACAAGGAGATTACAGCCAGATGACTTCCTTGACTGGCTTGCAAATGTCAAACAATTTTTTCAATAGAAGGATATGGTGGAGCATAGAAAGGTACAACTTGTTGGTAATAGATTAAAAGGGCATTTTTTTTGTGGTAGCAGCAAATTTAGGTGGATCACACAAGAAAAGAAAAGCAAAAGGTCTGCACTTGGGAGAAGGTGAAGAGGTATTTGAAGAAATGTTTTTTGCCTACAGATTATATGCAAGATCTTTACCAATTACTCCTAGTTTAAGAAGGGTGAGGACTTTAAACTTTCCCTTAACCCGTCCCAAGCCCAAATAAAGGAGGTAGGTTGTGTTAAATAGACAATTAATGTAAAACTTTGCCAAAACTTTCCATGATGAATTTTACCAATGACTCCATCATTTATGGCAGAAAGATGGGTATGTACAAGATTATACGGAAACCCTCTATCAGTTGTTCAGTCGGAATGATGTTCGGGAGACTGATGACTAGCTGATTGCGAGATATACCAGTGGTCTGCATGTTGCAATATTAGCTTCCTATACATCAAATTTTAACTTTAGATCAGGCATATCAATGCGCATTGAAAGCTGAGACCAAATTGTGTAGATCTTAGGCCCAATTGCTTCACAGATAAGCGACCAACCACTACAAAATCTGAGGAGGTAGTGGAGCAAATTTTTACTCAGTCACTTGGTGTGGAAGGATGTCAATTTAAGTGCCAAACCTACTAATGGAGGCCTGACACAGCACAGCGGTCCCAAAACAACAGTAAACCAACAACTCGCTTCACGTGCAGCGAACAAGGACATAGGTCTAATGATTGCCCAAAGCACCAAGTTGGTGCACTCTTAGAACCATAGAGGGTAGTGAGGAGGAAAACGGGCACATGGATGAAGGGAGTGAGGCTGGTATTGAGGGAAGTGAAGAGGACACGTACCTTGATGATGATGAGCTCTTAGTGATTCGACCCATGCTAGTTATACCCAAGGTTATTGACGAGCCATGGCCGCGCACTAACATCCTTTGTACAAGATGCATGGTGCAAGGCAACATATGCATCGTCATTGTTGATAGCAGGGCTGTAGGAACATGGTTTCACAAAAGATGGTAAACAATTTGAAGTAAAAGAAAGAGAGGCATCCCCAACTGTACAAGATACAATGGATCATACGAGGAAGTTCCTAATTATTCTTTGTTAGTTAATTTCATTTTCCATTGGTAAACAGTGTAACAACTTCGTATGGTACGACATATTACCAATAGACGTCTGTTACTTGCTGTTGGGACGCACTTGGCACTACGACCCTTCTGTGATTCTTAAAGGCGAGAAGTCCAAAACAATATGTAGTTGTTTACCAAGGATGGTGTGAATGTGAAACTACACCCTTTGAAAGATGATAAAGAGAGGGTTAGAGTAGAAAGGAAAGAAGTAGTTCTGTCTCTGTCCATGCGTCATTTTTTTTGGAGAAAATAATAAATAGGAGGTCATTTTTGCCTTAGTAATTAAAGATCATGGTGGTCTTGATGTGGGGAATGAGGTAGTTAAGCCGCTTTTGAATTAAATTCCGGGTTTGATGCCCGAAGAATTATCCAGTGCGATGCTTCCTTATGGGAAATATCCAACACTGCATAGACTTGGTTCTGGGTGCTAGTTTACCAAATTTCCCTCACTATCACATGAGTCCCAGTGAGCATGATGAGCTCTATAGGTAGTTTCATACCTATTGGCTAAGCGGTCGATCCATGAGAGTCTAAGTCCTAGTGCTGTCCCAGCACTGCTGATTCCTAAGAAAGATGGCATCTGGAGAATGTGTGTGGACAGCAAGGCCATAAACTAGATCACAATCAAGTACAGATTCCCTAAAGCCCATTTAGGTGATATGTGGGGCATGTTACAAGGATCTAAGCTATTTAGGTGATATGTGGGGCATGTTACAGGGATCTAAGCTATTTAGGTGATATGTGGGGCATGTTACAGGGATCTAAGCTATTGTTACAAGATCACAATCAAGTACAGATTCCCTAAAGCCCATTTAGGTGATATGTGGGGCATGTTACAGGGATCTAAGCTATTTTCCAATATCGTGGGTATCATTAAATCAGAATTAGACTGGGAGATGAATGGAAGATAACATTCAAGGCTCGAGACGGGTTATATGAATAGTTAGTGATGCCTTTTGGCTTGTATAATGCACCTAGTACTTTTATGTGGGTTATTAATAGATTCTCAAACCATTCATAAGGAAATTTCATCATCATCATTATCATCAGAGCCTTATCCCCACTATTTGGGGTTCACTATACGAATCATGTTCCACCCATATAAAGACAAAGTTTTATGTTTGCTGCCCTACCTAACAAAACCTTCCTCTATACAAGTTTGGGACAGGCCTAGCGGAGTTATTCATAGAGAAATTTGCTGTGGTATACAACAATACAGTTGAGGAACATTCGATCCATTTGATGCAAATTCTGGAAACATTTCATGTTGATAGTTATTATCAATCTTAAGAAGTGGTCTTTCTTCGCAGACAGTTTTATTTTCCTTGGATATGCAGTATCTACTGAGGGGATTAAGAGTGGATTCAAGTAAGGTTCAAGCAATTATTGACTGGCCAACCAGGAATTGTATTGGAGATCTACGTAGTTTTCATGGGCCAGCTACAATTTATTGGCAGCTTATTAAAAGTTTCAGCAGCTTGGAAACTCCCATCGCATATTATATGTGGAACAACAACTTCATTTGGACAAATGCAGCCAATGATAGCTTCTGGTTGATTAAAGAAACGATTAAACATGCACTTGTATTGGTTTTGCCGAATTTTAACAAAGTTTTTGAGGTGGATTGTGATGCATCCCATGTTGGGATCAGGGCTCTTTTGAACCAGGAGCATAGGTCAGTTGTTTTCTTCAGTGAGAAGTTAAGTGATTCCATAGGCCCGTTTTTTTCTTCAGTGAGAAGTTAAATGATTCCATATGCCCGTTGTTTTCTTCAGTGAGAAGTTAAGTGATTCCACAATATTCAACATATTATTTGAAGGTCTATGTGATAGTGCAGGCACTTAGGCAATGGAGGCCCCATTTGATTCGGTGGGAGTCTGCACTATATTCCGATCATGAGGCCTTGAGGTTCTGAGTATTCAAAATTTTTTGAGTAGAAGGCATGTTGAACGGGTTTCGTACTTGCACGAATTCACTTTGGTAATCAAGGCTGGATGTCATAATCAAGTAGCAGATGCATTGAGTAGGAGATCCATGGCATTTGAGTGTTCTGTAAACATCAATTGTGGGCTATGAAATGGTCCCGCAGAAATATGCTACAGACCCATATTTTGCTGAAATGGTTGAAGAGGTATAGTAGGGAGACAAGAAACTACTAAGAATTATATTTTGCAGGATGCTTTTCTTTTAGGGAAAATTGCCTCTGCAAACAGGATAGCTCCTTGAGGTTGAAGATACTTTCTAATTGCATGGTGGTGGACTGGGAGGTCACTTTGGCAGTACTTTAGCGTTGGTGGAGGATAGGTATTTTTGGCTGCAGCATGGTAGGGATGTTGCGAGGTATGTGGACAGATGCCATACATGCTAGCTCGCAAAAGAGAGGCATCAAAACACTAGGTTGTATACTCCACTACCGGTACCACGACAACCACGGGAAGATGTGATTATGGATTTTGTGGTGGGATTGCAGTGAACAGCTTGGGGAATGGACTTTATCTTCCTATTAGTTGACTGCTACTCGAAGATAACTCAGTTTATAACTTTACTGAAATATCTTGGATGTTACGTAGGAAGCCAATCTGTATTTCAGAGATGTCGCTCAGAGTGTTCCAAGAACTACCACTTCGAATCGAGATACATGCTTTATGGGCAACTTTGGAGGTCCTTGTCGCAAAAGATGGGGACAAAACAATAGTTTAGCAACGCTTACCATCCTCAAACAGATGGTAAGATGGAGGTAGTTAACAAGAGTTTGGGAAATCTTTTGAATTGTTTGATAGGGCGACTGCAACATTGGGAGATTTATTCATGTCTCCAGCCAAATTCACGTTTAGCAGTGCCATAAATAGAACCACAAGGTGGTCACCTTTTGAATTAGTTTATGGTAGAAATCTGGAGCAGGTATTGGATTTGGTGAATTTAACTAATATGGAGCAAGTTGTTGATGACGCAGAGGCTTAGGTTGAGCACATTCGAGATATCCAGTTGGAGGTGACCGAAAAATTGAAGATGAACACAACGTGCTACAAGGAAAATGTTGATTGACACAGGCGGCAAAAAGAGTTAAAAGAGGGAGCTTTGGTTATGGTCTACCTACATAAGGAGATATTTCCCTGTGGCGGTACCATAAGCTAAAGTTAAAGCACATAGGGTTTTGTCATGTTCTGAAAAACTTGGGAGAAAATGCATATGAAGCTTAGCTTTCGGCAGGTTATGATATTTTGCCCGTATTTAAAATACATATCTTGATGACTATCATGGTGAGAATGATGAAGAGATGGAGAACGATTTGCAAGACTAATTACCAGAATTTGATGTTGAGGTGATTATGTCTTTGATACCAGGACTATTATTACGAGGCATGGATCATATAAATAGTAAAACAATATCTTGTGCACTGGAAAGAGAAATCTGTAGAAGAAGATTCATGGATGTCAGGAGTTGAGTTCCAAAATGTATATCCTGACAGTTTGAGGTAATACATCGTACAAAACTCGAGCGCACGTTCTTATTCTAACCAAGGGGGATTGATACAAACTTGTTGACATCATCCTCCAACTTTTTTCTTAGTTTTCTTATTTTCATTTCAATTATTTTAGTCATGTACCGGGAAGGAGTTTTTGGGATTTTCAATGTTTTTGGGGTGGCATGGCACTTTGGAGACTTGTTTCGGATTTCTTTGCCGAACAGGGGTACTTTGGTACTTAACAATTAGGATTTAGTGGATGGGGTATTTAAAACTTTGTAGTAAGAGTTAGTTTTTGCTGAGTTTGTCATTGTAGAGACTTTTCTCCATTGAGGTATATTGAGCTTCACTTTATTAAACCTATTGAACTTCAGCCCTATTTTTTGTTTATTCTTGTCCATCAGTATTATGTGCTTCTTTTTGACAAAATAATTTTTACTTGCCAGCAAATTGAATATAATAAGAGATCAGGTTGGGATTGATCACTCTTAAACTGACTTTGATTTGGGTCGGGCTGGCCTGACCCAGATAAATGTAACCAGGTTGGACTGGGCCAGGTTGATCTCCATTGAAGCAACTTGAGCTTCACTTTTATTGAATCCATTGAATTTCCAGCCTTATTTTCTGTTTAATCTTGTCCATTAGTGCTCTGTGTTGCATCAAGTACATGCATTCTGACAAGATAATATTTAAATGCCAGAATAAATTGAATATAACAAGAGATCGGGTTGGGATTGATCACTCTCAAACTGACTTTGATTCAGGTCGATTTGTTTAGATTAATGTAATAGGGCTGTACTGGGCCAGGTTAACCTTTAGAAGGTCGGTCCAGATTGAGTTTGGGCCTGACAGTCAGGTAGGGACCTATTTAAGAGGTAAGGTCAGGCCCGAGCTGGGCTCGGCCAGGCCAGAGCCAGAGCCAGAACTTGACTATGCTTTCATGAAATTTGAACCCCTAAGACCTAACTACTAATGCACAATACAATATCGAAGTTTGTATTCAGGAAAAGTTCCCCACAAATTGCATAATGATAAATATATATCAATCCATAAGGACAGACAGCAATAACTCTAATCACAGCAGGATAAACTTAATTTCAGAAATCATCATGTTCTTCCAATTGTTATCAAGGGAAAAACAGGAACCTGCCTATACTTAGATACTATTATTGCTAGTTCCTACATATAAGATGCTTATAGAATGTATTCGAAAGAAAACTGTATGCTGTTTTGGACATTGGGAACAGTCCAAAGATATATATATATATATATATAGGGAAATACTGGTGTAGGCTAAGCCCACTAGCCTACAGCTACATATAGGCCCAACGGCCTAGATTGAATCTGGGCCGATCCAATTATCACAATTTCATTTCGTATTTGTAGTTTTAATTTTTTTATATAAATCCAAATCAGTTGTAAATTTGGGTATGTTAGTTTTTAAAAATATTAGTAATTCAAATCCAATAACAATCATATATATATATATATATAGCGAGAGAGAGAGAGAGAG